CCACAGTGAGCACAGTAACTAAACAAACTGAGACGCTCAGAGTGGCATCATCTGAGGTTCGACACCCAGACACTGCGTGAGCCCGGCCGGGAGCCAGGCGTGGTGAAGGAAAGCGAGCGCTTCCTGGCTGACACCCTTTCTCCATTTCGGGTGAGGCTCTATGTAAAATCTGTGGTTGATGAAAACCCTTTTTTCTAAAAACATCCAAGAAGGAGATTATGCAATATAATGACAAATTTTCTTGAAAAAAGCTTCAGATGTGAGTTCTGATGTCCTATTAATTTAAATTTAGTCATTTAGAATATAATTTATTTGGTTAAGTAGTTATGATAGACGAGTAAAGATTCCTGGAAATGAGTTTACGTAAATAGATAAATTATTACTTCATATTACAGAAGATAAATTAGGTGAAACGTGTGTTTTGTACTCAGTAAGTATATTGATTAAATAGAGAAATGGCACATATTGGCATTCAAAATCACTTAGTCCCCCCCCCTTGCACTTTCGCTCTTGATTTATTATATTTCCAATTACCATTTTGTGAATTCTCATTTTATTTCAAAACATAGAAGACATAAGTAAAATTTCAGCTTACAGATTTACACCCTGTCATGGGAGTTATATTAGCGGAACCCGAGGTCCCGGTTACTGCCAAAGACCTTTCATGGGTCATCATTAAGCCTTTACGTACACATTGCTTCAGAGCAGATGTTGTAAATTTCCAAAAAGATAGAGAAAAGGGAGAAGTCCTGCAGTTACTTAAGTATAATATATATAAGCGCGTGTACATATTTCAGTTAGGGGAATGCATCTGAATCTTGCTGTAAAAACTTGATGGGCCCCGGCACTCTGTGGTCGATGACGTGTGTCTGTCAAAGACTTTGTTGACCCATTGAACACACGTTCGCCCCAGAAGCTGCTTTTCAGGACGAGGTTCCCCATCCCCGGGGGCACTGACGTTGCTCAGTCACCACCCAGAGGGGTTTGCACCAGAAGGTCTCAGCTGCCACCTGGTCCGGTCCCGGGGGAGGGAGGGCGCAGGGAGCCGGCCAGGAGCCCGGCGGTGGGAAGAGGCGGGCGAGGTGACGGAGCCTCGGGTGTCTGGCCCCCGAGCAGGTCGCACAGCCTTGTCTTACCTCAGTGCTGCCTCATGAACCCCCGGAAGACACGGTCATGCCTAGGCATAGTCCAGAGGCAGCTGGCAAATCAGCACAGATGTGCTGTGTTGTTAAACTGATTCCAGCCACCCACCTTCTTCAGGCGGGTCTGGAGCGGGGCCCCGGTTCCCTCGGCACCACCGTTTCTTCCTGTCCCCAGTCACCGAGCAGGGTCTTAGGCCAGACGCCCGAACGGTCACTCCCGCGGCCTCTGGACCACACGCTCTCACTCAGCGGCCCTCTTGGCCTTGGTCACCTCCCCCCTCAGGCTGTTCTGTGATTGTCTCCAGCTGTTCTTTCCAAACATTGACTTTTTAAGGAATTTAACATGCAGTGGACATGAAAACATTGACTCCAGGTGCTTGAGGCGGATGGAGGTGGGTGATGCTGGGTGTGACTGAGGAAGCACTTTGGCTTTTCTCTCCACTGGAAAATTCAGAAAGTACCATTTATTATAACCCTCCCCACCCTAGAACGCTAAGGAGAAAGGAAACCCCGGGGCACAGGTGTCCCGCGGGCGATGGACAGGTTAGCGTGTGGTCTGGACTTAACCCGCCCTGTGGACGTGGCTCACAGAGTTCACGGTAACACACGTCCCTTGTTATTTGATGAACGTCACACATAAGTGTTTGAGCTTCGAGTGGCTGCCAGGGGAGACTGAGGGTTATCTGTGGGTGGCAGGGAAGCTGTGATACAAGAAAGTGCTGCCTAAGAGTCCTAACTGGTGTGATGCTGGGAGATGCTGGGGAGCAGGTGGCTGGGGTGGGGCGGCCTCGAGGGCAGAGACGGGGCGCGGAGCTAGCTGAGCCTTTCAGCAGCTTCTAAGCAGGGGATTTAAATTACATACATAGAGTTAGATCATATTACAGTTTTACATCTATTCAAAAATGACAAGTATTTACGGGGAAAACTATCACATGTCAGAATTGTTCTAACTGCTGAGGTTACACCAGCAACCGAAGCGGAAAAACATGACTGTCCTGAGAAGCTCACAACTTCGCTTTCAGCTGATTATTTCGATGGCTTGGTTAAAAGCGTCGGCAAAAAGAGTTAAATTTTTTTATTTATTACAAAAATGTCTTGTAAAGGTGGAGGTATAGTTATAAGAAAAAAGAAAACTTCTCTTAAGAATTAATTTGGTGACATTAGGTGAGAAATATCTCAGAAGGGACTGGATTCACAGCTCCCTCCACATGAAACACAGTGTCATGTTCGCATCAAGTGTGGAAAATGTGCTGGTTTCCTATAAATATTCTTCTAATAGTCATGTCCCTGGAAATCCTATTTCCCTCGGCAATGGGTAAGAGGGATTCCCGAAGGAGCTGGGACCAATTCTAACAGTCAAGCTGGAGGTCACCCTTCGAAGCTGCCGGGGGGACACAGGCACTGAAGGTGTCAGACGGGGGGGACACAGGTACTGAAGGTGTCAGACGGGGGACACAGGCATTGAAGGTGTCAGACGGGGGGACACAGGCATTGAAGGTGTCAGACGGGGGGACACAGGCATTGAAGGTGTCAGACGGGGGGGACACAGGCACTGAAGGTGTCAGACGGGGGAACACAGGCACTGAAGGTGAAGGAACGGAGCTCGTTCGCTCCTGCTGCACACATTCCTCAGACGTATTTTCCAAAATATGAGATACTTAGAATGGCACTTGGATAATATCAATCAAAATTAAGTCAACAAATATATTTGAGTAAAACTATATTATGTTTAATATCAGCCCTTCGGTATGAAATGTTACAAAGCATGGCTACAAAATATAAAAGTATTTTAACTAAAATCGTACTGATGGAAACGCTTCTTCTAAGATTTTCTAATTAATACCATTCACATTCTAGTGCTTTTGGAAAATCTTACATCTGAAGTTCACGCTCCCCTGGAGAAGATGCTTCTAAGAACAGGTCCATTAGCGGGTGAAGTGTTAGCGTGTAGGAGGCGCCCGCATTCCTGCGCGATGGGGGTAAACGACCTTGTGATCGATGACACGCCTACTGGGTTTTGAAACCCAGATCGTCTTTGATTCATCTTAAGAAATGTTTGTTTGGAAAGCAAATGCCGTTTTTTAAAAACTTGATTATATAGGTTTTAGCTCATCAATGTAGAGTAGGTTAGTTTTTAGTGAATTATTTTCATCGTACGTAGATATCCAGCAGCTGAAAAGCTGTCTGAAGTAACCTCACATTTTTCTCTGTCAACAACCACAGACCCCGGGTTCGGGGCCGAAGAGAAAAGTCATTACGGGAAGGAGGCTGTTCCCCGGGTCAGGGAACCTGCAGCTTGTAAAGCGGGTAGATCTGTGAACGAACGGCTACAGGAACAGGCGTAATCTGTATTACTTCTGTTTCAGGATGAATGGGAAGGAAAGATGCCCTTTCCTGGGGACAGTTAGCAGTCGCTCGATTACAGGGTTTCTCCCAGCGCCCCCCACCCTGTGGCCCTGGGAGCCCAGAGTCCTGTTCTGTGTTGTTTCCCGGGACGGCGCTTGGCGGGCAGGGGCCACGCAGCC